TATGCTTCTTTCTTTAAAACCTCACCAAATGGAAGGTGACTGGACCTGAACACTGACTTACCATTAGTCGGCTCCCCGACTAAATCTACCTACATATGTTGCTGTAAGGCTTTGGCCTACCTCTAATGATCGTCATTTCTTCTCAGCCATTTCCTTGTGACAACTGGCAGTTGTCATGTTTAACATACTGCCCCCGAATGACAGTAGCTGCCCTGGTTACCCATGACTCTTGCATTTTCTGCAAGAATTTTTTTTATATACAAGTTTCCCCTATGTTTTATATTGTTACTCCCAGTCAATATTACTCCACATTTATATGCTATACTTTTAGAAGTCGTCTCCACAACCCTGCCTATAAGTGACCTTATCCTTTACATGGCTTTTCACTGGTACCCCAAAGTATACCTTCTGCTTACCCAATATGACAAAATACCACCTCTCATTCATCTAACGAGCCATTAAAATCTCCCTCAAAGGTCCGATCCGCATCATCCTCACCACAACATTATATACCTAAATGATACTTAATATAGTTTCACTCAATGCCAGAGGACTCAACTCTCCTTTTAAAAGATCATCGCTAACTGAGGAAGCCCATGCTCTACATGCAGATGTCATCTTTATCTAACAGACCCACTTTGCTTCATCTAAGACCTTCCTCTTCAAGCAGAAGAACTTCTCTACAAGGTATCTAGCATACCACCATAAAAAGATAAATGGAGTCATGACAGCAATCAAAGACTCAAACAACTTTCACTTCACCTCTGAATACGATCACCCCCTTGGTCGCTTTCACATTCTAGTATGCCTTATCAACAATATCCCCTTTATACTTATCAGTGTTTATAGTCCTAACTCCAATCAAATTCAATTCTGCAAACAACTACTTGCTAAGCTCACCCCCCTTAAGAATTGTCGCCTAATTATAGGAGATAGGAGGTGATTTCAATATAGTGGGAAACATTCATTTAGATTCAATATCTGGCAAACAATCTCTGAACCACAGTCTGAATCAATTTCTTCATGCCAATGATTTTATATAATATTTGGAGCTGTCAACACTGATCAGAGAGGGACTATTCATACTACTCACCTTCCCAACTTTCATACTCCAGAATAGACTTCTTCTTCAGAGATAAATGGACATTACAGCATATTTCCTCCTCATCAATAGGATCAATTACATGATCAGATCACGCACCAATTGCCATCTCGATAGTCACACCTGGGAGACTGCCCATTCCTAAACCTTGGAGGCTAGATTCCATGCTGTTAACAGACATTGAACACAGGAAAGTGATTATGGAAGCTCACACTCTTTTTTTTTTTTAAACCAATAACATAGATGTATCTATAAGTATCTTGTGGACCAACTACAAGGCATTTATGAGAGGGATACTTATAAAGTTAAATTCTCAGGTATTCAACCGTAGGAGGCTCCAGATTGAAGAGGTTTTGGCTTCTATAAAATTAAAGAGGATATAAACAAAAATAATCCATCTGAAAATAACTCCTCCTCCCTATTGTCTGAGAGGGAAAAGCTCTGCTATCTTCTACTATTCCAATATGACCTTAACCTAAAAAAAATGAAAGCCAAATACCACTCTCTTAATAATAAAGCAGGTTCCCTTCTAGCCAGATCGGTTAAGCACCAATGCCTTAAAACCAAAAATTCGGGCAATTCGTCAACCGAGAACTAAATATCCTGTGTCCAATCCATTGTACATAGCTAACACATTTGCGGATTTTTATCAGTGCCTCTACAACCCCAAAAACAATAGAGAGACCCCTCAACCTTACCCTGATGCTATTCAAGCTTTCTTATACTCGATCAAACTCCCAGTCCTCTCTTCAACTCAACTACAGAACATCTAGGAACCTTTCTATTTTACAGAAATTGAATCTGTTATCCGCACCTTACCGCTCAATAAATCTCCAGGTAGCAATGGCTACACCAATGAATACTATAAGCATTTCGCCAATATCCTCTCTTCACACCTAGCTAGCCTCTTCAACTCAGCTGCCTGCTCTGGTTCAATGCCAAAAGAAATGTTACAGTCTACTATAACAACTATTCCTAAACCAGGTAACGACCCCTAACTGGTACAAAATTATAGACCGATATCGCTTATCAATACTGATTTGAAACTGTATGCCAAGATAATTGCTCGTAGACTACTTCCTCTCCTTCCATCCTTACTGCACCCAGACCAAGTAGGGTTCGTACCAGGACGATAGGCCCCGGATACCACTTGACGTTTAATCTAGTTAATTCACGATCTACAAGACCAACGCCTTCTCTGCTCTTATTACTTGATGCAGAGAAGGCGTTCGACCGCATCTATTGGGGATTTATGCAAGCCATCTTACAAAAATTTGGTATTACAGGATGGATACAAACGGCTATCATGTCATTATACTTTTTCCCATCAGCCAGAGTTCTTATAGATGGTATGTTGTCAAAACCGTTTGAAATCACTAATGGTACTAGACAGGGATGCCTACTATCCCCTATCATTTGCATTACTCACTGAGCCGCTTGCCACAAAAATCCGGGATGACCCATTACTTATAGGTATCAATTACCACAATTCTGAACATAAAATCAGTCTATTTGTGGATGACATTATCTTAATGATCACTAACCCTACCCATTCTCTATATAAAACTAGGGAGATTTTAGCCTCCTGTACTGCTGTGTTGTATTATAAACTGAACGAAAGGAAGTCTCTAACACTAAACCTATATACACCAAAAAGAACCCAACTGCTTCTTTCAAATAATTTCCATTTATTTGGGCTGACCAATCAATTGCCTACCTAGAAATCAATCTAACTGCTTCAACTTCCCAGCTCTATGATCTTACTGATAAACCATTCCTCCAATCTCTACCAAAAGAAATCCAAGCACTCCGGACTTATGGGCTTTCTAAACTAGGTCGAATAGCCACTCTGAAAATGTTTATCCTACCCAAATTGCTCTATATCTTTAGGACCCCATCTCAGTACCTCTGAAATTCTTCCATGCAGCTCAAAGACGATTTTCCCAGTTTCTCTGGGAATCAAAACGACCCAGGTGTACTAACAACCTATTAATTCACCCATACTACAGAAGAGGAACAAGCCTTCCACATTTGCATACATATTATCTAGCTACATTACTTGACCAGATTTACTACTGGTGGCACCCAACCAGGGAAAAGACTTGGAGCACCATGGAATTCCAACTATTTCACCCTACCACACCACAGACCCACCTCATCCTGCGTTCCATCGACAATAGATCCCTTCCATTCAAACACGCTTGTATTAAGGCCTCCCTAGAAGCCTGGTCAGCCCTATTATTACATTATTTCCCAATCTCCGAAACAATTTCTACTCTCCTTAACATCCTTTACACTTTAATCTCACATATTAACCTGACTAGATGGGAAACCAATGGTATCACTTCTCTATCCGACTTATATCTAAACCAGGACCTAGCCCCCTTCCATCACCTCCAAAACAATTTTTTACTCCCTTCTAATGAAAGATTTAATTCTCTTTGAATTGCTCATTGTCTTAAAGCTAAAAATATCCTCTGCACCACCAACTTACCTTCCCAAGCATTTCAATTCCTCAACAAAACCAAATATCAAGGTAAAGGAATATCAATGTTTTACTCCCTCATTATTGAGTCAAAATTCAACTTGAGGATGACCTCTCTGACAAACATGGTACCTAACCCCTGGCCAGCTAGCCAAAATATATCAAGCCTGCTCATCGCAATGCTGGAGACAATGTGGGGAGATGGCTCCCTCTTTCATATAATTTGGTATTGCAAATCGATTAGGTCCTTCTGGAATAGTGTCTTTACTGTGATTTCAGAAATAACAGGTAATATAGTGAAACCTAGCCCACCATTAGCCTTATTTCACATTGGACAAAAACATTTCCTCCTGAGACACGTACTATTATCATTCACATTCTTTAATGAAGCAAAAAATAATATCATTAGATTATGGAAATCCATAGTTTCACCATCTATAACCAGAGTGATCTATGATTTGAACATCCAATGTGATATGGAAAGCAGATTTTCCTTCAACCACTTCTCTCCAATTCCAGATTCCGCAGCTCTTTGTCCTTATGGTCACTTAATCCCAAATGTACAGTTCAAGTTTGATAGCTCATATCATATGGAGTACAACCATAATTTCTTTTGACTGGTATTAGTTATTGTGTTCCAATAACTGACTGTTCCTTACTCTTTTTCCTTCCCCTTCCCTCCCTCAAAATTCCCTCTTCCCTACCTTTCCCTCCCTTCTTATGGTTTCTGCTGTACAAATCTCCATGAGTGCAGTTCCCCACATTCACTCCCCTCCTTCAATGGACCTTCATAGTGCAAATTTAAAGCTGTCTCCTTTTCAATACTGTATACACCTGTACAACTGTGAACCTGATGTAGTTCATGTTATCCCTTTGTACTGTTACTTGTAAAACTTAAATAAAAACAAGTTGAATAAAAAATAGAATAGAAAACAAAAGAATAGCATAAAAAAGAATAGAATAAGAAATAAAAGAATAGAAAAGAAGAAAAATAGAAAAGAATAAACAGAATACGATAGAGTAAAACAAAGCAAGATAGAATAGAAAATAAAAGAATAGAATAGAAAATAAAGGAATATAATAATAAAAGAATAGAATAGAGAATTCTATTCACAATGAATAGATTCAATATTTTTGATTCAAACTCAAGTTGAATCCATTTGAAAAATTAGAATCTGGTGGAAAATGAAACAAAACTAATTTTGTTACGAATGCAACAAAATTAAATTAATAACTTAACGAATCAATCTGAAACTAAACACATATTTTTTAGTTCTGCACGTCTACCTACTAGGTGCTTTGGATATAGGCTAGTACACATTATAGAAGGATATGCTGTGTTTGTTTTTCATTTCAAAGGTTTACAACCAATTTAAATGTATAGTTTTCATTTGACTTTCTTTTTTTTTACAGGACTTGGAGATTGTCTTGAGGACATGGCCAAAGCTCTGGAGAATGGATCTGAGTGGAAACCCAATTTGCCAGAAGGCAAAATACAGAGATAAAGTTATTGTCATTTCAAAGACATTGGGTAAACTAAGATATATACAAACACAACTTTCAAACTTTCAGTTAGACTTGTTTATTTGTAAGTCCAAATTCTACCTTACCCTGTATTGTAGATTTTACCTTTCCAGACACTAATCAGGCCATTGTCTTCTACTGATTTATTGCTGCATAGTAAACATGATCATGAACAGCTCTCATTTTGACAGAAATCCTGGATGGTAAAGAAATAAAAGAAATGGCAAGACAGTTCTTGGTTAACTGGAAAGCCTCAAGGGATGCCAGAAAGAAAAGCAGGGAAGAAAACATGGAAGCACAATTAGTCTACCAGCAGCTATGTATGTCAAGTATTAAACGATATTAATGATTTTAAGACAGTTGTGTTACTTGTACATGCTGACTCATTCATTTGGCATGGGTATTTCATATGTTGGTCGTTTTATCTTCCTCTTGGTTTGTGTCCTCATTTCCCTTTTCGGTATTCTGTTCTCTGGGGTAATCTACATAACTTTCAAGTCTGCCAATTTAGTTAGCCTACATAGCGTCTGTCTGACCTCTGGACCAAGCAGCGGCACATATTTTTTAGGTAGTCTATCTCCAGATCATGTTATGGACCACAGTTTTACTCCATAAGATAATGATTCCTATGTAGTTCAGTTGTGACACACTTCAATAAAACTTTAAACATTTGTGACACTTGTTATGCTAGCAGACATTTTTTAGATTCTTGTATTCTGCCACAGAACAGAATAGACTCTCTAACCCAGCAATCTTTCCTGCAGGATGGGAGGGGAAGGGGATTCCTGGCAACCCTAGCTGGAAAAAACATTTGTGCAACACCTTGCCAATGCTGCTGAAACCCAGGCCGTTTTGATCGGTGGAGCTCTTGCACATATAGTGTTGAAGCTTGCCTGTTTTATCTGGCTCCCACACCTTTCTATTGGCCAGTAAGAAACTCCATCATAATGATGAGCCTAAATGAGTGCAAAAAGTAATGCGTGCGAAGTGGGAAAGATTTTACATGACCAGGAAGAGGCCAGAATGGCAGGTATAAAAAAGAACAAAACAAAAGCGCACCAACCTTGCACATTACCTCAGTGAGTAAAGGGTGAATTTATTGAATTGAGATATATACTCACAAAAGTAGCAATGTTAAAAGCATATAAAATCCAACATCAGCGCACTGGGATAGCAGACGCGTGCAGGTCCCATCGAGAGGTGAGACTCTCAGGATGAAGCTGATGCGTTTCAAAGGGTGATCCCTTCTTCCTCAAAGGGATCCCTTCTTCCTGATGCCTATAGATCTCAGTTTCTAAAGTGAGCATTTATGTAGAACTGTATTGAATGCTTTTGCAAAATCCAGGTACACCACATCTACCACCCTTCCTTTATCTAGGTGCCAGCTCGTTTCCTCAAAGAATGTTAACAGATTGGTTTGGCTAGAACAACCTTTCATAAATCCATGCTGATTGCTACTAACTATACTATTTTCTTCTTCAAATTTATGGATATAGTTACTTATTATCCATTTACCAATAAAATGCTTGCTCTTACTTTTAGGCACATTGAAGAAGACGTTGTTATATTTACACTTCTAATTATCAGTGCAGCCATATTTTTTTTTCTATTCTTTGTTGTGAACACAGATAACTTAGAGCATCCTGGCTCCCTTCTTCCTGTTCAGTATCATAACACCAAATATTTGGACAAGGAAAAAACAAAGTATATGTTTATGGCTCAGATGCTAAGTGATAACAAACAAAGCCAAATGCAACGATCGGCAGCAAAGAAAATAATTGACGTTTGTGAAGACATACGGTAAGCTGATGCATATAATCTATGTATATGTAGTTGTGTTTGTTTTGCTTATGGTTATGCAAATCCATGATGATGGTATTATTGCAGATAAAAGCACTGCTATTAGTATTATTATTGATAATAGAAGGATAGGGGTCATGCAGTGTGGTGAGGGGTGGGCTTGGTTATTCCTCTGGAGAAACTGTGACCATGCGCAGTTGAATGTTGTGGTGTGAAAGGTGTCCACATGAGCGTGAATGTTGGCAGAAATAGTGACATGTTGGCATTGATTTTGAAAATATGACTGATCATGCCAAAAAACTGTCTTTTAGTTAAGGAGAGTGCTCATGAAGCCGTCTATTATCACGTAGTTGTTTGACTCCTTTTTAAATTATAACAATAACAAAAATCACCCTAATGGCCCTGATCAAACGTTTACATACCCTGGAATGTTTGGCCTTGGTATAGACACACAAGGTGACATACACAGGTTAAAATGGCAATCAAAGGTTAATTTCCCACATCAATGGCTTTTTAAACTGCAATTAGTGTCTGTGTATAAATAATCAATGGGTTTGTTAGATCTCACATGGATGCACTGAGCAGGCTAAATACTGAGCCATGGGGAACAGAACTGTCAAAATACCTGTGTAACAAGGTAATAGAACTTTATAAAGATGGAAAAGGATATAAACAGATATCCAAAGTCTTAAAATATGTCAGTCAGTACTGTTCAATCACTTATTAGGAAGTGGAAAATTCGGGGATCTCTTGATACCAAGCCAAGTTCAGGTAGACCAAGAAAAATTGCAGCCACAAGTGCCAGAAGAATTACTTGGGATACAAAGAAAAACCCACAGGTGCCCTTAGGAGACATACAGGCTACTCTGTAAAAAAGACGGTGTGGTTGTTTCAAGCAGCACAATACGGTGATACTTGAACAAAAATGAGCTGCATGGTCGAGTTGCCAGAAAGAAGACTATACTGTGCCAATGCCGAAAAAAAGCCCAGTTACAATATACCCGACAACATCTTGACACACCTCACAGCTTCTGGCACACTGTAATCGAGTGAAAAGCCCAAAATAGAGCTTTATGGTCACAACCATATGCTCTATATTTGGAGAGGAGTCAATAAGGCCTATAACGACAAGAATACCAGCCCCCCTGTGAAGTATGGTGGTGGCTCACTGATGTTTTGGGAGTAAGAGCTCTAAAGGCACAGGGAATCTTGTGAAAATTGATGGCAACATGAATGCGGCATGTTATTAGAAAATACTGGCAGACAATTTGCATTCTTCTGAATGAAAGCTGTGCATGGAACGCTCCTGGACTTTCCAGCATGACAATGACCCTAAGCACAAAGCCAAGTTGACCCTCCAGTAGTTACAACAGAAAAAGGTGAAGGTTCTGGAGTGGCCATCACTGTTTCCTGACCTTAATATCATCCAGCCAGTCTGGGGAGATCTCAAACTTGTGGTTCATGCAAGATGACCAAGATGCAAGATGACCTGGAGGCATTTTGCCAAGACATATAGGCAGCTATACCACCTGCAATAATTTGGGGCGTCATAGACAACTATTACATACTGTAAGACTGCATGTTGTCATTGATGCTAAAGAAGGCAATACATAGTATTAAAGTATGCAGACTTTTGAACAGGAGTCTTTTCATTTTTTTACCATTTGAAGCCATGCTTTGTTTTATGATTGTGCCATTCAGTAATGACCTACAGTTCATTGAATCCCATAAGAATTAAAACAAATGTGTTTTGCATGCTCACTCATGTTTTCTTTAAAAATTGTACATACCAATTTTGTTATGTTGTGAACAAGCTGCTTCTGAATATCAATTCTCCAAGGTTATGCAAATGTTTGCGCACAACTGGAGTGCTGAGAGTCTGGTATAGTGCAGAGATTTTCTAAGTAAAAATTTGACTTCATGTTCTCCAACACTATTTTTCTATACCCACCTACACCATTTAATATTCTCTATTACTGTTTTGACCAAAACTTTCTATAATAGCCTGAAACTAAGGAGGAAACTACAATGCCGTTTTATGTCTGTATTTTTCTCTTACAAGAAGTATAGGATAATAATTGTACTGTATTATACATAGATACTGATTGTAAACTGGAAGGATGCTATAATTTACTATCTTCATGAAGGTAACTGATTTCTGAGATAAATATCAGTATCTTCAATAATCTGCTGGATATTATTGTCCTTGTAATGCCCCAGAAGTGACAATTACACATTGATGCATAGACTGTAATGGTAACCAGCGACTTAAGTCAACAAAATGTCACACAGAGGCAAACCTTGCCACTTAGGTATATCTAAATCATGGTGAAGGCACTAGAAAAATTAGGTTTAGTAGCAAAAGCTGAGAGAATTCTTCAAAACTCCACCCTTTTAGAAAATAGGCATTCTGAGTTTGCTGTAGTGGCGGGTGATGCTTCATTTAAAGTGGTTGTAAACCTCAGACATGAAATATGAACAAAGCATATCCCTCTATTGTGTGTACTTGTCTCAATTAAGAGCTCTAAGTGTCATTTCTGTCTGTTGATTCATTCCTCTGCTATCTGCATGAATCACTTCTAACAAGGTTTCCTGACACCAAGAGAAAAATGGTGATGGGGAAGGACCTCTATCAGCTTGACAGTCTCAGTTGTGAGTTGTGTGGAGGGGGTGTGTTTCTTTCCCTCCAATCAGCTCTCAGAACGCTCCTCTCTGAGCTCTGCAGTGTGTTATTTCAGCTCTCCGCCTCTTTTTTTCTGAACTCTCAAACAAGCTTTATTAATTCAGTACATTGAACAGATGTAAAGAAGAAAAGATTGTGGATAGACCGGTACAATTTATATAGGAGGATTTGTTTCACCTCTGTGTATCAACTGGGGCCAGTCACTTCATCGGGTATATGTAAGTTTACAACCACTTTAAAGCTCCATGCACACTGGCTTAAAAAAAAAAAGCTGCTCCTAGAGTTTAGCATTTTGCCTGTAAAAGCATCTAATGTTATCCTATGTGTCCATGCACATTAGGAAGTCTAGAGGCATTTTTTAGGCTCTGTCTTTAGAAGCAGAAAAAAAACCCTTCTGTTTTGCATTTTTGATAACGTTTTTCTGGCAGAAAAAAACACTAAACACTGCTAAATGTTCCTAAACGCTTGTACAAAATAACTTTCAGAATCTTTTTCTGCCAAGAGCACTGGTGTTTTTTTAAAGCCAGTGTGTATGGAGCCTAAATAACAGTAATTTAAAGTGAGTGTAAGTGCAATTTTTGTGCAATTACACTTATATCACAGTACCCACCACTTCCATTCTTTATCATCTATTTTCCCTGATTCAGCATGACATCGCTAAATCGATTGCCCAGCCACTTGACAAACTTTTTCTCTGCTGGACCCACATATTTAATGTGCAACTTTTGTTATTCCCATAGAGATCCCAGTATGAGCTAATACTCATTTCAAATGAATTTACCTTATCTTACAGAGAAGTTCTGCAAGACCATATGACATTCCATATAAACAGTATATAAGCATATGTAAGCACTATGGGTAAAGAATATCTGTGTGTGTATGGTTGTAATGTCATAGATTGCATTTAGTGAATAAAAGTGACAAGTGATGCCATCCCTTTATATTTAGCAAATACGGAGAATATTGCATAGTATTCAGAAAATTTAAAAACACACTAAGATCTTATGTCCCATTTTCTGTAATATAAAGTGAAACTATTAAATTTTTCAGTAATTTCTCATTTTAATTTTGATCTTTGATGTGGTTTAGTTGCTTGCTGTACTGTGATTTCATCAGACTTTTAATCTAGAAACTATAGGCAAAATAAAAAATGATGTACAGTATATGGCACTCTGGCACTAGTATCAGCATAACCATTTTTGATTTTCTAAGTCCCATCTATGGCATTGGTTTATCACTTATTGATCCTGCCAGTAGGGTGCCTATTGTAGCCTAATGCTGGCTATACACATATATATTTTCATTTGAAAATTTTAATTTTAAGAATGTTAATTCGATTTTCTGATCTTTGATTGGGTCAAATGAACATTGATTTTCAACCACAGTGACGAGAAAATTTTAAGGTTCAGGATGGAATTTTTTTCTTGAACAAACAAATTTTTATAGTGTTTGTGGCTTTCGTTCAGGAATTACATTCATTCTAAAATCAAATGTTACAAACAAGTGGAATTTTCAAACTTTCCTCCAGTCATCAAATTTCCAAATACTTTTTGCACGAATGTTTAGACTAATATTCTTGTCCGAAAATCTACTAGTGGATGGCAGCATAACTCCACCTAACAGAGTTACAGCAACAGTTTTTTTTTATTTTTTTTAAAAAAAGGTAATGCACACGAATAAAGGTAACCTCTGTAAGTAGGGATATAATACTCATGCGCAGCCATAAATAAATGATATGCTGCTTCAAGCACCTGAATGTGTTCTCACATCAATAAACCAAATACCCCAAAATATTGATGTCTTTCGTCCTAGTGAACCAAAACAAACTACTAATAAATAAACACCATCCTGAGTATCCAGCCCAATGGGTATGTAAATAAAAAAATTCCCACAGCAAACAAATGTGAAAAGCCAATGCAGTCAATAATTCATGAATAAATACCTGGCTGAGTCACTAAATCCAAGTAGTATATGCAGTGTATCATGTGCAATAGCTATTAAAATAAGAAAGTGCAAACACAGTATCAATATAAATATATATATATATATATATATATATATATATATATATATATATATATATAATCATAAGTAAACACCTGGCCGAACTAAAGTAAACACCTGGCTGAGCTATGAAATATAAAGTGTAAAATCTAACAGAAAAAGATGATAAACTGTTCTGCAGTAAACGCCTGGCTGAGCAATCAATC